CTGAACGGGGGAGGGGCAGAGAGAGAGGGAGACACAGAATCGGAAACAGGCTCCACGCTCTGAGCCATCAGCCCAGAGCCTGACGCGGGGCTCGAACTCACGGACCATGCCGACCTCTGGGATTCAATTCCTCATCCAAAGGGAGCAACACAGCCTCGAGGACGCTGCTGGCGCCCCCAAGTTGCGTTTCCCTTATCCTTGGCCACTGGGGAGCACTCTTCAGGTGCCCCCTTGGTGCGTCCTCCGAGGCCAGAGCCTTGCACTCAGGCCCAGACCTGCAGCAGGTGGTGTGGCTCAGGACCCCCCAGGAGGGGCCCGCGTCTTCTGCCAGGTGCTGGGCCGCCGGTCTCCGTGCCCCCTCCCCATGTAACCGGCAGCCTCTTCCGCACTCCCTGCAGACGACTCTTCCACCAAGGTGGACGTGAAGGAGCCGTATGAGACGGAAGTCGGCACGTTGTGAGTACCCCGCCCACTGCCCCTCGCTCCTGTCAGCTGCCCGGACTGCCATGCTGGGCGTCCCCTGGCCGTCATTGGGCCCCCGTGGGGCGTGGCGGGGCAGAGGCGGGGAGCCGCGTGCCCATGGCCCCTGTCCTTGCAGCTCCTTCCCCGAGTGCGCGCACGCAGGCGGCGTGTCGCCCTTGTCCTTCTGTATGCAGACGGCGCCCCACTCCAAGACGGTCAGTGAGAGCGAGCTGAGCGCCACTGCCACCGAGCTGCTGCAGGACTACATGCTCACGGTGCGCCTAAGGGGGGCGGGGGGGGGATGCGGGGAGCAGGGACAGGGGACCCTGCTGGTGACCTCGTGTGCTTCTCTGTGTGCCCGCACCCTTAGGGCGCGCTCATGGTCAGAGGAGGGCTGCCGGGTGGGCTCCTCGTGGGTCTCAGTCAGCGTTCCCCTCCCTGTAGGAGGACGGCAGCTGCGGGGCAGAGGGGAGGATCAGCAGCTGCGGGGGCGGGGGGAGGACAGTGGCTGCGGGGGTGGACATTGGCTGCAGGGGGGTGAGGGGGAGCGGGTGCTGAGGCGGGGGCCCACGGCTGTGTGGGGGGGGGGACAGAGGCTGCAGGGGGGAGGACCATGACTGTGGGGGAGGATAGCGGCTGCAGGGAGGAGGACCGCAGCTGAGTGTGGGAGGACAGAGGCTGCAGGGGGGAGGAATGCGGTCATGTGTGTGTGGGACGACCACAGCTGTGTGTGGGGTAGGACCGTGGCTGTGTGGAGGAATTCAGCCGTGTGTGGGGGGAGGATTGTGGCTGTGGGAGGGAGGACCACGGCTGTAGGGGGGAGGACTGCAGCTGTGTGTGAGAGAGGACAGTGGCTGCTGTGGGGAGGAGCACAGCCGAGTGTGGGGTGACAGCGGCTACAGGGGAAGGACCGTGGCCGTGTGCTGGGGAGGATCGTGGCTGCGTGGGGGAGGATCGTGGCTGTGTGTGTGGATCACAGCTGTGTGTGTGGGAGGATGGCGACTGCAGGGGGGAGGACCATGGCCTTGTGTGTGGGAGGATCGCGGCCGAGTGTGGAGGGAAAGGGGCTGAGGGGTTTATGGCGGTGCCGCTCATCCCCGCCCCCCTCCCCTGGCAGCTGCGCACCAAGCTGTCCTCGCAGGAGATCCAGCAGTTCGCGGCGCTGCTGCACGAGTACCGGGATGGGGCCTCAGTGCATGAGTTCTGCATCAATCTGCGCCAGCTGTATGGGGACAGCCGCAAGTTCCTATTGCTGGGTGAGTCCCGCAGGGGTGCGGCTGAAGTGTGGGAGGCTCCATTGAGGATGGGCTCAGGGTGGGTCGGCCCGGAGGGCTCTTTCCGTTGACTGGCAGGACCTGCCCACGGGAGCCAGACTGAGGAAGCCGGGACTGTGTGCGTGGTCAGAGCAACTGCTAGGGGTGGGGGGGCTTCCTCCAAGAAGGTGGCACTTGAGTGGGTTTTGGCGGGTGACTAGGAGTTCGCTGGGTGGAGAAGCGAAGGCACCACTTCCAGGTAGAAGGACCTGCCTTTGTTGAGACGCTGGCCCTGAGCTCAGGCGGTGGGTGGGTGACATGTGGCCCTACACGCCTACTATGCACACCCTGTGGGATGACGGCCTTGGCTGTGTCTTCTGAACCCTGAGCCCGGAGAAGGCAGCCGGTGATGTGGGCTCTGCCCCCCACTGTCCAGGGAGGGTGCACTTGTTCAGGCTGCCACCTGGCACATCCAGCCCGAGCTCTCGCCGACCCCCAGCCTCCCCGCCGGGGTCAGTTACCCGTACCCCCCTCCCCCGCCCCCATGTTCCTTTGTGTCTGGTCCTCGCACGGAGGAGTGGGTGGTGCCGGGGGAGGTCCGCCCACCCTCTCTGTTCTGCACTCAGAGGCCTGTGAGCAGCCGCAGCCAGAACCAGGCAGGGATGGGAGGCCAGCCACCTGCTGCAGAGCCAGGACCTGCCGGCGCTCCCCCTGCGTCTGTTGGGCCAGGGGGGCGGGGCTGGACACGGGGCAGGAGCCTCAGGCGAACCCTGTGTCCACAGGTTTGCGGCCCTTTATCCCGGAGAAGGACAGCCAGCACTTCGAGAACTTTCTCGAGACCATCGGGGTGAAGGACGGCCGGGGCATCATCACCGACAGCTTTGGCAGGTACCGGCGGGCGCTGAGCTCCACCTCCACCTGCACCTGCCCTGGGAACAGGGCCACGGGCAGCTCGGACGACCAGTCTGCGCCCTCGGAAGGGGACGAGTGGGACCGCATGATTTCGGACATCAGCAACGACATCGAGGCTCTGGGCTGCAGCATGGACCGGGACTCGGCCTGACCCTCTACTGTGAAGGACGCGCCCTGGGGCGCCGGTGCACGGGCCTGTCCCTGGAGGGATCCTGGGGGTCCCTTCGGTTTTGCACACGAAGTTCCTGTCGAAACCCTCAGAGACCTTCAAAGAAGTTTACTGCGATGTGAACGATTCATCCGTGGTCTTGGTGTGCTTGTGATCTGGTGGGTGGGGGGCTGGGGGCCTGGGGTGGCTGCCCTTTGGCTCTTGGGGCAGCAGGTGCTGGTGTGACCCCTCACCTGAGTCCCTGGTTCCTTGGTCTCCCTGCTGTCACAGGTGGTCCCACCCCAAACCTGTCCCCCTTTCTCCACCCTGAGAGCCCAGGGTCCTGGTTTTCAGGGGGCCATCGGCACTGCGTCCTAGGTCTTTCTTGGCTGGGCCCCTCCTGTGCCCTTGGCACATGGGGAGGCAGCAGGGGTGACCCACCCTGGGGTCGGGGCCTGGAGATTGTAGTGCAGGAGGGTCAGGTGGAGAGCCCCTCCTCACCCAGGAGATGCCTCTGCCCGGGGAGACCCCTGGCAGCATGTGCAAGAAGCTCCAGGCTGAGCTGGGTGGGTGCTGGGTCCCCAAGGAGGGAGGAGAGGGCCCTCAGCTTCCAGGGAGGCAGGGGTCCCGGCAGCAGGTTGGGATGCGAAGAGGGGTCTCATTCTTGGCTCTGGCCTGGGCTGTCTGGGAGCTGGTCGTGGGCCTGGGCAGGCAGAGCTAAGGGGACATCCAGTCGGGGCCAGCCTCTCCCCAGCCCACTATGGGTCTGAGTGGCCATAGCGGGGGTGGGGGAGGTGGCTACATGACAGGCCCTGGCCTAAGTGTCCTGTGTGGACGGCAGGAACGGCTCCCTCCCCTCTGCGGGCCCCGCTCCCATGTGGCCCCACTCAGCGGGTCCCTGGACTTTGGAGAAAATGTGGAGAGGCTGCATGGCCATTCCGGGCACAGTGAGGGGCCAAGGAATTTGGGGACCCACTGCCCCAGCAAATGCCTTTCCGCAGCTGATCATCCAGAGCCCCTGGGTCTGGGGGTTCCTTCCCGAAACTCCCATCCCCAGGCCCGCGCCTTCGTGACTGCCCATATTCTCTGGGCAGGTGAGGTACCCTGGACATAGGTGGGCCTCCTCCCTGGGAGACGGGGGAGGACTCCCACCCTCCAGAGACACGTGGGGACAGAGCCCCACTTGGGGGTGGACACAGGACCCCCATTCTGTGGGACATGTGGGAACAGAGCCCTGACCTCTGGGGACACAGGGAGAAGACACCCACCCTCTAGGGACACAAGGAAGCCACCACCTCTGGGACATGAGCAGGTAGGACCATCACCCTTTAGGAACACAGGGGATAGACCTCCATCTCTGGGTCACTGGGGGAGGACCCCCACCCTCCGGGACACAGAAACAAAGCCCCACCTTCTAGGGACACGGCACCCTCATTCTCTGGGGATAAGGGATAGACCCCGTCCTCTGGGATGTGTAGGCAAAGATCCCTGTCCTCTGGGGACATGAGGGGAAGACCCCCACCTTCTGGGGTATATGGGAACAGAGCCCTGCCCTCTGGGGACAGAGGGAGAGGACACCCACCCTCCAGGGGCACGGGGAGGTCACATTTCTGGGACATGAGCGGGTGGGCACACCAGCCTTTACGAACACAGGGGACAGACCTCTACCCTGTAGGACTTGGGAGGGGAGACCCTCCCCTCTCCTGGGGCTCTGCATGGGTCCAGGAAGTGTCTCCCCTTCACAAATGCCATGTGGCCGCAGCCTGCCCGGGACTTTGGAGCAAGAGCAGAGGCTCTGAGGAGACACCCATTTATTGAGCAGCACAGCTGGGGGTGGGGATGGATCCGTGGTGGGCGGGTGGTGGGCGGCGGCTACATGGTGAGCTCCTGTGGGAAATGCAGAAAGACAGGGCAGGCTGGGGAGGTGCCCGGCAGGGCCAGCGACAGGGGTCTGGGAAGGGGCCGGCCGCTCACCATGATGGCGTTGACGATGTCACTCTGGTTGTCCCTCAGGGCCCGCACGGCCCTGGCCCTCGACACGTTGGCCTGCGCCATCACCAGCTCGATGTCCCGGAGCTCCAGCCCTGCCTCGTCCACCTGGGCGGGGTGGGGGGGAGGTGAGCAGGCAGGTTCTGGGGCTGCCCCCTCCCCGGGAAGAGCCCCGAGAACTCCTGGCCCCCCTGTGTCCCTGGGCCTCACCTCCTCCTCCTCTTCCTCCTCCTCCTCCTCCTCACACTCGGGCCTCACTAGCGGCCCCGGCGTGGATTCGGGAACCAGGGTGGAAGGCTCCGTGGGCACTTTGAACTTCTCGGCGGCGGCTCTGTGCACCTGCTGGGACAGGTCCTCGATCTGCAGCAGGGGGCACGGCTGTCAGCCAGGCCCCCGCCCCGAGTCCCCGCCCCCACCCCGGGCCGGCCAGACCTTGGCTTCCCCAAAGACCACGTAGGTGTCCGAGGCCGGGCTCTTGAAGACGTCAGGCTTGGCGATGACAAAGAGGATGTTCTTGGACTTCTGGATGGTGATCCTGGTGACCCCCTGGATTTGCCGCAGGCCCAGCTTGGACATCGCCTGGGGGCACAGTGGGCTCAGACCGGGGCATTGGCTGGGGGGGGTTCCCAGGCTGGGGTGGGGGGGCGGCATGCCGACGGGGGAAGGGGGGCTCTGCCGCCGACTCTGGGGGACCCTCTGTGGGCTTTGGGCCCACCCTGCCCCGGGCGTACATGGGGCCCCAGCTGCGCACCGGTGTCCGGGACTGCGTTTACTCGACGGCTCGTTGGCCATTGGCTCTGAGGGGTCCCCTTAAGTGGCCGGCTCCCCCACCCACCTTTCGGGCCTTCTTCTCACTGCGACTCTGCTTGGCTTTGGCGACGGTCTCCTCGCTGCCACCGCTGGCCGGGGCCTGGGGAGGACAGGGTCTGAGCCCCTGAGTGGGGGGTGCCCTTCCAGGGGTGCGCCCTCCCCCCTGGCCAGGCACCTGAGCCGGGCACTGTGCGCCCTGCGCTCCCGACAGTTCCTGCTCCTCTGGTTCTGCCGACGACTCCCCATGGCTGTCGGAGTGCTGGGCTGATCCCTGGCCGGATCCCGGGGCCCTGGGTGGCAAGTCTGGGGAGGGGGGAGGTGTGAAGAAGGCCTCTGCCTTCTGACTTGGCCCCATGGCCCGCCCACCCACCCACTCTGGTGCCCCGCTCAGGACTGCGCTCCTGCCGTGTCCTCCCCTGCCCCCCACTCACCTTCCTCCAGGCTGTCCTGGTCATCCTGCTGCTCGGCGGCTGGGAGCCCTCGAGGGCCAGGAGGCACTTGGCAGGGGGGCGAGAGCCTCCAGGCCTGGTCTTTGGCATGGGTGTCCCCCACAGGGGCCGTTTTGGGGCTGAGGAGGGGGGAGTGGGGCGGGAGGCCTACACGATGCCCGGCCCCTGGAGGCTTTGTGGTTCCTGAGAAGGCAGCTGCCGCCCGCTGGGCTCCTGCCCGTGGTGGTTGGAGGCCCGGAGAGCCCGAGGGCTCCTTGCCCTCCACTGAGTCTTCCCTGGGGCCCTGGCAAGGGCAGGGAGCAAGGAGTGCCTCTGTGGGGACACGGGGAGTAGAGGGCTCAGGGCCGAGGACCCTGTCCCGGGGCACGCTGGGCGGGCCTCTGGCAGGGCTCTCCAGGGACTGTGCTGGGGACGAGCTGGGGGCTCCTGGTGCCACCTGCGCCCACGTTCCACTTCCCGGGCCCGGCACGGGCTCCCGCTGCAGACAGGGTGCTGGTGCGTGTGGGGTAGGCTCTTTGGGGCAGCCCCTGCCTGGCCTGGGTGCGGACCTCAGTGGGGACTCTGCAAGGGAGCCCGGCCCGGCCTCCGAGGTCACAGCAAGGGGAAACCCGAGCCCCTGGTTTGCTCTTTGGCCTACCTCAGGGTGAGCGGCAGGATGTGCCCTCCTAGCCCCCTGGGGTGCTGGCTCAAGGCCTCCAGCCCGGCAATTCTCACCCCCTAGGGCCTCCTTCCGGGCTGAGCAGGGCCCAGCTGTGTGGGCAGTGCGCACACGGGCCCCGGGATGGGTTCCCTGCTCAGGTGCCAACAGGACCGCCACTGCTTCCTCTCCAGCAGAGACAGGAGTGGGTGGGGCCATGGCCTCCCCTGCAGGCTCAGGGCGTTCTAGGGCCTCTCTGGCAGGTTCTGGAAGTTCTGGGGCTGCTACGATAGGCCGAGGGAGTTCCAGGACCTCTGTGGCAGGCTCAGAATGTTCCAGAGCCTCCGTGGCAGGCTCTGGGTGTTCCGGGGCCTCC